GAAAGCCTCATTCACCTGAACGAAAGCCTCATTCACCTGACTTATATTTGCAAATGAAGATTCTGTTCGGTCGCGACTGAATAATGTCGATGCTTGTGCGATAGCAAATTTGTCCGAATAAATAACTCACGCCTGAGTGACAGCTCACTATTGTCAACACGGCTGAGCCAATCACCACTAACATCATGTCCGAACTGCAGGTGTCATAACTCATATGTCACTGTGCAAAGACGCAGTGCTTACCCTTCAATGTCTTAAGTATGATATGAGCGGTATGATATCTTTGAGGTATGATATGAGCATACGTGTCTACACGGCGGCAGAGTGTCCAGGTTTACAGTTGTTCGGACAAACATCACGATTAGGACATCCGCTTTTTCTTGAAAAAAATGCTTCAGGAAGTCCTGAAGTTTTTAATTGAATAACTGCTCGTGATCCTGATTGCCCAAACTCATGGCCAGAATCTTGTAGGTAACGAACTTCGGTCTGTGTTGATGAACTGGCATCTCAGGAAATGAAGCAACACCGTGCAATAAACCAAGCTGTATTAGGTCACTATTGTAACACAGATATATTTAATTCTACACGCGGTGAGGGACGCTCAGGTAATTAAAATTTCGATTTCACTTGAACTTCTTGTGGTCACTCTCCGTATCTTTGAGGCAATGGAGCAGACTACTTCGTTAGTATGGCGCGCGTGCACCGCCTCATGCGACCTGACTCTTATCATTTTTGCCACATGTTGCCGCTGAGCTCGTTTCCGGAACACGCAATTCATAACAGAACTAGTAACGCTCTTTGAAAGTACTTTGGTTATACGTGTAAAACTAGGCCTTCGTTAATAATGGCAGCTCGAACAAAACCAACGATACATCACACTTACGAATTGGTGTGTATGTATGGAGTACGGTCCGCAAGCCGCATGCGGCCCGTTGCAGTATATTGTGTCCGCAGTATCATTTGTACGTTACGAGTATGGGTGGATTTTGATTTGCCTATTCTGATCATCATTGTTTAAAGGTATGTATCAAGGTTTCAATGAGGCCCTCCAGCGCAGAAATTTGACGCCCCAGGTGTAGAGCGGTAAAAGCAAGCGCTTGGCCAGCGATATTTCTGTTCAAAATCAAGTATGCAAGGCAAGAATGTAAGTGCAGTAGCAAAGTGAGATCATAAAATTTGCATAGCTAGTCATGTAAGGGTATCATATTAGCGTCGCACAAAAACATTCACTTCCTTAAGTTAAAGATAAATATATTGCATTCAAAAATCTGCCATACAACAATGGGTAAAACAATTCAACGGCAGCAAGGTGGATAAATAAGAAAAATATTAACGAATCCTTAATCGTAAAATCAGAGTTATGAACGTTGGAAATAGTGAAGATAGCAGTGGGTATATTAGAAATTTTGAAAATACTCGTATACCAGACAGCAGCTGTTAACATGATAAACAGCAAGCGTTTGTATGATGACGATGTACGCTAAGTGGTATAAGATTATGGCTTAAGATAACCGGTACGTAGTAAATTTGATAATAAACATGTCTGCAGCTTGAGATAATATTTTCTGTCGAAAATTGCAACGAAGAACGATTGGGTTAACTTATTTAATTTTGGAAGGTCACTGCATCCTCGTACGGTAGGCAACACTTAATCTCTAATGCGATAACGTAAGTGACAGCGATCAATTCAGTTTCAGGGTAACACCGCAACTCAAATACGATAACGTAAATTACAGCGATCAATTCAGGGTAACACTTCAACTCTTATGCGATAACATAAATAGCAGCGGTCAATTTATGCTATCCTGGCTTGGTCTCAGGTGTCAATACGCGGTACATACGAGAACGTAAAAAGGTTACCATAATACACAAGATTAATGAGCAGTAATAGATACGTATGTATGAGAAATACAATAGGCTATGAGAAAATAGTCGGTGAAGATAGTGCCGGTAAGTTTGAATTATTTGATGAGTAGGAAGACAGAAGAGATAATTGAAATTTATTTACGTACAAACATATGCAGATACGAAACATGCTTAACCGTGAGATGAGCCGAATGCCACCAGGCCCGAGCAGTAGATGGGAAAGGCGTTTAGAGGCCGTGAAACTTGCACGTTTTCAAGGCAGGCAAGATCATCCGTCCGTTGGTGTTTAGTACTGTTCTTTTTCTGAAAATTGGACAACGACACTCCTTCAATTTTAGCTGCTCCTTCGCTTGGGTCAGCTAACCACCGACGTAGACGACAGGCTGGGTTCTACCTGCCAGACAGTATGTTTGTGATGCATTCGATGATCTAAGTTGATCTCAATGAAAACTACGAATTTCATACACCGATTCTATTTTTATTTCTAAATGCAATTTTTCTGATAGATTTACTTTCGGCTATTAGGCAATAATATTAATAAAAGATAAATCGGTCAATTGATCCCGAAGTTTTAGTAGTGATCAGGGGATATTTGGGGGCCCGCGTCGTCACCCAAGACGCGCAGGTTGAGGGACGCTCCCACATCTTCCCTCATCAAAACATCATCCATGTTTCAGGGTATTTGCAACAGATAAAACATGAAGAATCGATGAAATTTTTACAAAAAAGTAAAGCAGAAACTAGAAGCGCTTGGTGAAAGCTGTGGACGACGCATTATCCCGCACGCACGCGGACAACCGACCACTGCACTTTTGAAAGCAAGCAACCAAACCGCCGTTCAACTGACGCTCACTGGAAAGTCTCCGAGAAAACCGTCTAATCTCCGTCTTCCTTAGCTTCTATTTAAATTCACGTTTCTGACATTATGTATCATTAATTTATTTACACGCATTCTAATTGAAAACTTCAGAATTTAGTCAAACAACTCCATTGAAACTCGTCATTCACATCCTAGCAGGACGTGAGAAATTATGGCACTTCGCCCGCACAGTGCTGACTGCTGTGCCCCTCTCTCCGCAACTGCATTCTCTTCTAAATTAACGTTCATGTGTTTATGCATTTTATGATAGCATATTTGTAAAATTAGCCACGATTCGACAGGTTCATGGCAAAAACTTTCTTTGAATTTGCCGTTGCAACGTCCATCACAGACGAAAGCATTTTCACGTTTTTTTTTAAAGGTAAATGAATGGATTAGATTGTTCCTGAAGAATTGTATATTATTTTCCTTTTGAAATAATTTGTAATTATAATGATCCTTGTGCTAAAACTAAATAAAGTCTCATTGGTCATTGCACATGAAATGTAATTTCGTGAGCGCGAGCGATTGTAACGACCACAGTTTCCTGATGTTATGTAACAAAGCAATAATCGAAATTTGCCCAGTAATCGAGTATATTTTGAATCTGTGCGTATCAAATTCTTTAGCTAACAGTGGCCAAGTATGCTATTTCTCACCGCCTAACGCCAATACATAACATTCTCGTTACCAGTAACACTTTGCCAGAGTACAGATGACACTACCCTTCTCCGCGACCACCTGCCTCCTACTGGCGGCTGCGATTGCGTCATGTTAGTTGCGCGCGGAAAGCATCGTTGTCTGTCAGCTGATCGTAAGTCCTACGACAATCACTCATAAAGATATCGTGCTTTCTTGCCATGTCCAGTGTTTCCGAAACGACGCCTCAAAAAATAATGATCCCGATCTGTCGATAATAATCTAAATACATAACATTTTAAACCTATTCCTCTCCGATTTCTAGTAATTTTTTAGTGCAAGAGGCTGTCCGAAAACAGGTGTTAAACAATAAAGCTCTTGTTTATAAAATCCAGGCCTCAAACATCACTGTGGAAAATTCCATTTCAATATTCAATTCAATTACGCACGCGTCTGCAAAATTTCTTTAACTTCGCTATATACATCCACTTCCACATGATTTTATTCCCAATTCATGAGTCGCGTTAGGTTAGCTCACAGAGCATGAACTCAACATGAACAAGTGGATTTGTCAACTTGAGACCATTTTATTAATCAATGTCTTTCCTAATTGTATTGCTTAATCAAATAGCGAGGTGCACTTAATTGGTGCAGCTTGTCATCGCAGTATCAAACCAAATCTGAAGCAAAGCTGGCTAGGACGATGTGAAGTTGGTTTACAACTTATTGTATTTCCTATTAACCAACTGCTGCGTCGTAACTAGCCTTTGAAACTCAGCTGGTAAATTGCAAAAGAATATCATTTGTCTAGAAGCTAAGCCGGTTGTATTCAATATTCACCATCTGGTGCGCCATACTGAGCATTTGCCACCTAACTAGCAAACAGAATAAAAGAAGTATGAATAACTCGTTCTCTACTTAAGATATTTCAATTGTGGTTCATGTTAATTTCACAAATATTGCAAGTTGCATTATTTATTGAAGGCCATGGATCAAGTATTCATCAATTTCAGTTCACAATCATTGAGTGCAGCTTCTTGTAGAGTGACGCAACAATCAACAAGATATTCACCTCGCGCGCTCTGTAATCCCTAGCCAGCACACGTCTACAGACGGTAACACCCGTACAGGTCTCTGAAACGCATAGCTTTGACGACGGTTAAAGTATCCATATCAAAAGTTTTTTATATTTGTTATAGAATATGAACGGCAGCGACGATTGTGGCTAAACTTTAGGAATGGTTGAGGGTAGAGTGTGTGTGAAAATTCTGAACAAAATCGAATAGAAAGTTCAGTGACATTTTACGTTGTGGATGAGGCAACGTCGAGCCTGATATGCAGCGCGCATAATGCCGGCCAACGAAGTGTCGAGCAATGCATCAGCTTATGAAGCTTGGCAGAGACTGACAGCCGAATAATTCAATAGCATTTTAGCATCGTTAACTCGTCAGTAAACCATGAGTTTATCAGGCAAGCTTAACAACTTCGGTCGCCTAACTTCGAGAAACGGTCGTGGAGAAAACAATAAATGCAAGCCATTTTGCGGCTTCAGACCATAAGCACAGGCTTGGGGTCGTAATATTTTTCAGCATTTAATTGATTGCTATGTAACTGCCACGGGAAAAAGAACACAAAATGAAACAAGAAAATGTATAGCAAATTGAAACCTAATAACCACTATAACAAATTGGTAAATAATGAATCAACAAGCAGCCACATTTGTAGCTGCGTTCCCAGCAGGATGAACAATCTAATAAATTAACTATTACTTTAACAGATGACCTTAACATACATTTCATAATATGCGTTAATACTGTAATAAATATTTGAGGGTATACTCTTAAATCTAGACGACAAAAAGTTGAAGAATATTGAACGTGGGTACAAGTGACGCGGCCTGCTTGTGTACGAAGTGGTGTGGCCCACGGGTTGTGCGATCTCTTCCTTACAGAGTATAGGTCGACATAACGAGACTATAGAAATGGATAAAAGTAAAATATACTAAATAAAGCAGCATTGTAGCTGTTCAAGTCTCGATCATCAGTACATTTAAGCCAGCAACGGAGAAGAACGAGCAGCACAAATATGTCGGCAACAATACTAAGCTAACCCAGAATACAGAGAGTAAGGCCACACTGCAACCTGATAACAAGTAATAATAAGATTAGGAAGATAGAAAGGCATACATTATTGAGGAACCAGGGCCTAATCTATAATCAGTCGTACATTATCAATCATAGCAATCACTCAATAAATCCAGATAAGTGAAAAGCAATTCCAGTTATACCAGTAGTCGAATAATGAAGTCTAACCACACATCATCAATGAGTCTATCTTGCACCTCAAGTAAAAAGACAAGAATTTGAAGCTGATGAAAAATTCATGCACTCGAAATTATTCATCATACACCAGCGGCAGTGAGTCTTCAATGACCAGCCCGCTGAAGGTGAGTGGCAAATAGCAGCGTGTCTGAGAGACGAGGGTAGGCGAACAGCAATACAAACTATACAACCATTCATAAGAATGCGGTCCTGAGCTTATAGCTCGGCCACTCGCTCTACATTTCACATGTGAACCCAATTTGCGATAGTCGGTTACCGGAACAACTTACGTTATACGTGTAACATCCCACACGCTTCCAAACACAGATGTCACGTTATCACATCACTCCAGAAAGCAGGTCATCACGCTACACCAGATATCAGTTCAACACACCAACATACCACAACACATTTCATCACGCTACACCAGATAACAGTTCAACACACCAACACACCAGATCACATTTCATCACGCTACAACAGACAACATGCCATCCATGAAACCTTAGAATGAAACCCACAGCTGTGGTGTGCGGCGTTATGAGTGGTCGGCAATAGGAACGATTGCCAAGAGCTTCATAACAAGGAAAACAGAAGCACAAATAACAAAACGAGTAACAAAAAACAACAACATGAAGCTTAAAGGTAATAATTGCACTAAATCTTTGTAACGTGGTTTGCAACACAAACTTAACCGTTGAGCAGCTGACAGGAGAAATCGACGACTCGTCCAATTAACAATTTATTACGACGTCGTATCGTTGACCGCACAAACGTTGACTGCACTAAAGCTAACTAGCATTAGGCAACTTGTTAACATCACGGAGGCCTGTCATTGTTGGCGTCGATATCAGCCATGTACATCTCTGTGCTTGACACAGCAACACATCACCAATGATCATTTTCGCGTCAATTTTATTTAGTAAATTCGCGTTCACTTTTTCACGATGCACCAGTTGACCTGTTCTCTGGGCCGGTTGACTTATCGTAAATTTTAAATTTATATCTATGGTTAGCTCAATTCGATTACCTCAATAGTACCTAGCATTAGGTCCCATGAACATTGCACCTAATTGCAGCCCTGCCTAAATCAACAGACAACTTTGGTCGCGCGTTATTCAAACAAGAGACACAAACACTACAAATTGTTAGGACGGCAGCGATATTATCATAAGTAAAATAAAAGTTCCTACGACACAAAATACTTTTAACCATGTTAAGACTTATCAATTAATAATCATCAGCATTGCTTTCATTTAGTTCAACGGAAATGAGTGAGTGCTGTGGCAGGAATGTAATTACCTATTTATAGTAACAAATATAATATATTATTATATTTTAGAAGGCACAAGTTAATTATAACTAACTGAAAACCTGGAACTGAGTGAATGTTATAAGCATGAAACTAAACTTCAAAACAGAGTAAATGCTCGCATAAATCTAAACATAAAATATAATGTATAGATAATAGTCTGGAATATAATTTGTTGATAAAATAACACTTTTTTTTCTCTTCGGGAAGCAGGACACATATTCTCGGCTATTTGTTGATATTTATTATGTGACAACAAATACTGCCATAGCGAGGCAGATTTCGTTACAATATAACCAACTTTATGGCTAATCTGTACAATTTGATTTAACGATATTAATAACAATGTAATTTCAATATGAAAAGGTATAATTTGGTTCTTCAATTATAAAATAGAGAAATCGAAAACAGAACAATTTTACCGCTGAAAATCGGAGGTGACGGCATATGCAGAGCAAAAGTTTGCAATTAACGCATGTCTGAAGCCACTACAACAGCTCATATTATGCTAGAGGAAATTCATTGAATAAAAAATACTTCTAGGCTTTAAGAAACAGATAGGGTGCATACCAGAAGGCAGCTTCACCCAACAGAACACTTAAGTTAATTTTTTTTCTTGGGTTAACACGCAAGAGGGCATAGTGGCGTATGAAGTTGATTGTTTCAAGCAACAGCGTCGTGTGTACACAGTCACCGTTAAAATATGCTGAAGTTAATATGGTCGTAGACTGCATCTTAACTTAGACTACTTTGGCCTAACCAACTCACTTTGCCTCAACTTTCCACCCAAAACAAAACAAGGTGGACCTAACCTATGTAAAGGCAGAAAAGAGGAGCAAGTGAGCATAGCATATACTGCCAGTAATTGGATGCAAGAATGTTGAGTCAGGGCAGCGTGAGTAGGTTGGGCCAGAAAAGGTTAGGCCGGATGCAGAACTGCTCGCTTATGAGCGAGATTACATAGGCTTGCGTCCATGGTCTGGCTTGTGGAGTTCCAGCACAGCCTGCGGTTTTGCATTCTGATGTCGAGATGGTTATTACATGCTGAGGCTACGAGAGGGTTTCCTGGTAAATTCATGAGTTCAATTTGTGGCCCATGGTGGCGCTTCCAAACAGATGAGGTATTGAGATCTTGAAGCATTACAGTAAAGTAGGACATTAGAGGGAATGCATTCAGAAAAACAGCAGTGAAGGGTCAGCATTCTTTTGGGCAGCCAAACAGAGAAACAGGGCGCAGCCATGGACAGAGCGGTTCCTTGGTTTGGAGAAGCAAAATTTCTGAGGCAGCTAAGTATGGAGCTGAGAGTCGGGTAGCCGTTGAGACAGCAGCGTTCACAGGAAACAGCCATGGACAGAGCGATGTCGGGCGTAGAGCAGGCCCGTGTGGTGCCAGTAGACCAGCGCCACCGTCACCAGTACATGCCATAACTGGTGCGAGGAGCCCAGACGGTCAAAGTAACCTGCAAGTGGGAGGTAAGCGCTTTCAATAACAGCAATAATTAGGTAATGACTGACTCTCACATGTTGCCGCAGTTCTCTTACTTAATAGCACCAGATAAACAGTTGAAATCCTATTGATGAAGCAAGAAATAGCCACCAAAAAGATGGAGTGGCTAGCAACAAACGCAAATACCTGGTAAAAGCTTCTCAGGGAGCTGGTAGACGTACAGTAGCATCGCCACGCCGCTGATGACGTACATCGTCACGATGCGTGGCAGAAATACCTGAGAAAAGTGACATGTTATGGCTAGAAGTGACATGTTACGGCTAGAAGTGACATGTTACGGCTAGAAGTGACACGTGTTCACTGGGAGTTATGAGTGTAACGGCCATGGTGACGGGTGTTACGGCCATGAATAACAGGTGTTCACAGGCACTGAGGAAGGTGGCGGGCATTAAAGCCAGAAGTTAGAGGTGTTTAGTGGCACTTGCATCATCCACAATATCTGCAGCCACATAAAGTCTTTTCATCTTAACCATCATTGTTTAATATTTAGTAGCATTGTGTTGAGTTTCTGCTTGTTGAGTATCTTGCTTTGCATTACTACACATATGATATCAATGAAATATAAGAACGGTTAAAACTAAATCAAAATCATGTCGAGATGATATCTTCTTATGTTTGCCAAATATTTAGTATTATAGTGGACAGTATTCTTATATTTTAGAACAAGACAGTCCACCTGAATAATAGTGTCGTTTCTAGACCAGTGTAGGAGAAGCCAGTGAGCAGTGGGTAGCACACCAGATGCAGCCCACCCTGCAAACAACCGTAAGCGAGCTGTATGCCACTCCTCACCCGACAAACTGAAAGAAACATGAGCTAAATGCAGAGCTGAACATTGAGCTGAATGCAGAAAAAGATAAAACACATTACTATTTTAATGCACAGATCATTGAATGCAGAAAGAACTTAGCCACAAAAGTCCACATTGCAACAGATATGTGCGCATAGTTGAGTTTTCTGATGTGACAGCAATATGGCAAGTGCAGGAACAACAAATTTAATAAACATATGGATCTTTGAACTAAATATTTAATGTCACTTCCCTAACAACTATAGAAATTGTAAAAATTTATGAGCAGAAGTAGTCTTAATTAAATATTATGAAACATACTGAGGTAGGGATAGAGCAAATTCACAAGTAATTGAAAAACTTGCATGATCAATTTGTATTAAAAAATTACAAGCAAGGCTTATTAGGTCAGCATTATAACAGGAATTGCTTAAAGATTTATGATTTTAATACTACCATAAACATAGAACACTGCAACTCAAATGAGACACTAAGTAGAAATATTCATTCATAAAAAGCATATGGTCAAGAAATCAAACCATGAGATTTATAGTCAACATCAAGTTAGCCATTGTTATTGCCAAAGTTAGGATGACAACATGATTGAATAATGCATAACTTTTTCTCTTCGACTAGTTCCTTTGCTTAACATCGTTACCACTTAAAACTTCTTGTCTGATTCATTTCAATTCATTGCTCTAGTCCTATAGGTAAGTTAATGATGTATGCATTGCCATGACCTCATGAAGTGTAATGAATTTCATGGGCTTTTTTCCATCTAAATTGAGTTTGCAACAAGAAGATGAGATAGTAAAATTTCAACAAAAAAAAGCAGAAGCTACAATATACCTGGGGACAAGCACGAAAAGCAATGAGCAAGCAAACACACTCGTCACCAAGGTCAGGTACAGGTTCCTCTGCATCATGTGCTGCAATAAGAATTATCAAATGTATTTCAGTGAACATTAAATAAATATTACAAAGTTTTGAAAAAGGAAAATAAAATTAGAACAAATTTCAAACTTGAGCAAAACAGTCATATTTGTTTACCATTGTTAAAGTTCTGAAACATTCTGTCTAGCTTATTGCTTGGTCAGTCCTTGATTTTTTTTATTGTTCAGTTGAATGGAAATAACTAAAAATGCTGCACATTTCCTGTCCATCACTTACTTCAGGACACCAGAATCCATAGAAGATGCCTGATAGGAAGACTGCATAGAAGGCCAAGCTTATGCCCAAGATGTCCATGGAAAACCAACGTCTGCACACCTCAGCTGACACGCAGTTCAGAGTGTGGTACATCACAGACATGGACATGCATATCTGTGCAGCAACAGCAGTACTTTACTTCATGAATTATTTGTAAAGGTAACTAACAGGTTTTTTGTACACTTTTTTCATACTACTCATAACAATTTATACAGATTTTTTTATAATTTCATAAAGATATTATTAAAGTATTTGGGAGGGTATGGTATTCATATTTCAGGCCAACTATAAATATTTTTTGTTTTCAATTTAGAATATTTCCTTATTTATATTAGTGACAGAAATTATACTATCATTTCTTTTCTAGCAATTTCTCTCTCATCAATTCATTTAAAAATTCAACTCTGAGTTAGTCATCTGAAGCCCAGTCATAATGTTGAGGTGATGTCCAATGTCAAAAAGTTTTATAAAGAATGCAATAAATACACTCACCATAAATGAGACAAGGATGAAGAAGCCAACAATTGTGTCATGAGGTAGCATTATTATTTTGGAATCAGGAAGAATGAAAACTAAATCATAGCACAGTAGTCCTATGAAAATAAAGAGGCCCATGAGGTGGCTCCAGATGTTGATGGTCTCATTGCTCCACACAAATAAACTGTGAAAGAAATCATTAGATTATTAGAGAAACATGCTTATTTCATTAGTTTCATGCTTCTATTCAGAAGCAAAATAAAAAATTTCATTGCAGCCAGATAAATAAACACATTGATATAGGAATGATACATATTTGAACAATACAAATTTACTAGAATGCAATTTAAATAGATTTGCCTTGTCTCAAGGCAACAACAAGTCCCAAGTTCTTTAGAGAATTGAAATTATGCACTTACACTGAGGAAGTAAAAAAATTTGAGCAATAAGAGCCAATGCGCTAAATAGGCATTACCGGTATCTGTCTATTCATACAATGCTAATACAAACCTCAGGAAACATTGCTGTGGAGTTAATTGTGGCCTGTACCCTGTCTTGATGTATGGATTGAACTTGAGATGAGATGGAGCTTTGCCAAAGTCTACAGTCTTGATGCTAGTTGTCACTAAACTGCACTTGCTTGTGATTATTTCTAGGATTCTAGCATATGTGCAGGGGCTGAAAATTTCCCTAACAGAGCCTGGCATATTGTCAAAATAACAGCTACAAGCCTACAATATTATAAACTGAAACAAAATAAAAGGAATAATTTCTTTACACAATGAAGTACAAATGAAGAAAACTTTAATATAGTTTTACAGATTTTTTGCATTTTATCAAATTATATCTTTTGTTTCAATTAAATGAGGAGATTTAGAATTGGCAAATTGTAAAGTTTCCATCATGATATAATCAGTGACACACATACTGGCATAGTTTTTTTTCAAAACAAATTTAGTTTTTTATGAGTATGAGCATATCAAAATAATTAGAGTATGGTATTAAATAAAATAAAATGTATTTTGCTACCACAAATGGAAAAGTTTAGATATTCTTACATACATATTAATAGTAACAATTCAAGCCAAGGAAATTATCATATTTAATTTCTTATTTCATTTTTGCTACCTTTGAACTTTGAAGGCAATTTGCTTGAGGTTTTAGAGATTTTTTCTATTTAAATACACTTAGGCCTATATAGAACTCATCATTATCATTCATGAATTAACCACACAAATGTCAAAGTTGCCATCAACTCACCACCAAAATGACAAAATTCTATTGAATTGGTGCCCCATAGGCCATAAAGCATAATCTGTAGAGTTGGCAGTCAATCATGAATTCAGAAAAATGGGCTTATTTTTCCAAATATTGCATTTGAAATATTGACAATTTTTGAAAATATAAGTTAAAGTGTAGTTTTCTTAAATTAAAACTAAAGAAATTGAGCAAGGGGCATAGAAATGGGTAAAATTTTCCATGTCTTATTTTCTCTCCTTTGCATATTTTCATTCAAACAAAGCTCCTGCAGCAATCTCTGCATGGTTTTCCAGTTTGGGCTGGCAGTTACTTGTTTCTAAACATCAACATGTATTGTAAATATTCTTTTCCAAATAGGAATTTAAGATGGAATTGGAAGGTAATGACTTCCTGACTGGCGAAGAAGTGATAACTGATAAGCAAAATGCCAATGGAATGATAAAATTTTGGACCAGTACAAGTTCCATTGTCTGGGCAAACTTAAAGTCTTAAACCATTTAATAGAGATGTTTGCTAAACCTGTTCTAATCTATCATGTTTTATTTATGTTCATCAGTTCATGATACTTTTTATCTTGCTTCACATGAGGTAAATGATACTTGAAAAAATTGTTATTATAAAAAACTGTGACACTTTTTCACTTTAGATCTTGCCTGCCTCATGTCTTGTGCTGCAGTGCTGTAGCATTAACCCTTAACGGCCGTAGTGAACGAATTCGTTCAGTCTATTTCAAAGCTATAATATAGAGAAAATATTAGCCTGTGGATTCTGAGTCCAAAGTGAATGCATTGGTACAGTCCAGATCAACATACCAGACACGCCACATCGCTCAATTAAGGGGATTGTGCTTAATGGGCAACCTGATGTCACAGAGGTTGTAGCATGACAGACAACCTTTCATCTTGTCAACTTTTATCCATCATGGACTCCAGAGAGGTTAGTTATCCCAACAAAAAAAATACCAGTGAGATGAGCATGATTTATATGAGTGAATAAAGGTCTAGCTAAATTATTTGGCGCTTATATTTATATTGTGGATGCCCTTTTTTGGTTGGTACAAATTAGTTCAGTTAGGACAGCACCATTCATTACCAGATACAAATAGGCAAAATCATTCAGTTTGTCTTATCAAGGTAATTGGTGTTTTTTTACACGTAAATACAGATAAATGCAACTATATTACTGTTTTAGGCATAACATCAAAATAGACATAGCATTTTAAACTCTGTTTTGAGGTTGGCAGTGCTTCTCATATTTTTTTTCAGATATGGCTACAGGGTTCTTTTATGGATTGTCTGCCAAGAAAGCATCTATTGCTGAAAGGATGGACATGTTAGCAGCTGACACGAGCGATGTTGATAAAAACTACGATAATGATGACAGTGTTTCAGATCCAATGTTTTGCCCAGCAGAAGAACAGATGCAGGTGCCCATTGATAATTGGTTTACTTCTGTGCCTTTGCAACAACACTTGGCAGAAAGAAATTTATTTTTTTGCTGTGGAACAGTTCGGGCAAATCGCGTGCCTGGAATGAAAATTTCTAAAAAAGAAGATAAAGAATTTATGAAGAGAGGAAGAGGAGCATTTGAAGAGAAGAGACTGATCAGCAAAACATGCGATATTTCATACGTACAGTGGTGTGACAATCGTGAGGGAACATGCTGTCATCGTTTGCCCGCTCAAATCCTACTTCTGAAGTTGATAGATTTTACCAAAAACAGAAGGTCATCAAAGTCACTATAACAAACATTGTTCAAATCTACAATCGGTCAATGGGCAGAGTAGACAAGGCAGATCAGCTGATTACCATCACCAGAACCCCATTGAAGTCAAAGAAATACTACATGAAGATGATGTTCCACATGTTCAACATGGCTGTTGTCAACAGCTGGCTTTTATATAAGCGAGACACAATCTTGTTAGACATGCCACGTAAAAGTGTCCTTGCACTATCAGACCAAGTTTCACTAGGCATTTGCTCTCATGGAAGCAGGCTTCTTCTTCTTCTTCTTTCTTTGCAGGGTGTCCACTTGGAGTGGACTTAAAGCCGCAGGTCTGCCAGATGGATGACCGTTGCCGTTGGGCCTGAGGCTGAGAGCTTATAGCTTGGGGTTTTCAGCTTCTTTGTATATGAAGTTAATTGCTGCCATTTAGTGAGGTTGGCTGATGTAAGCTCAGTGCAGGATTGGGTAGAAGTTTACAGGGAACATATATTAGTAAATGAAATGAGTTACTGCTAATGTAATTTAGATAAGTAAGGGCTGCTAATATAACAGCTTTCATTAAACAAAAAAAATAATAATAATAACAATAATAATAGAAATATATACATAATTATTTATAATAATATTGAAAAAAATACCTAGATGATCTACTTGCTAAATCAAAACATATATCAGCAGTAGCCATGCATTAACAATTCTATCATGCTTCCATATATACAGCTTTGCAAGGCGCTCATCTAAAGATGGAAGCAGGCACATTACTCAATAAAAGAGGAAGGCCTTCAGCTTGTGAAACCCCTGAGGCTGAGAGTAAGAGGCAAAAAACTATGCTTGTAACAGTTGTCCCTCAGAATTCTGTTCAATATGATCAAGTTGGCCACTGGCCCTCGGCCCCTCTGTTGCAGAAGCTTGTTGCATTTGCCGTTTTGAAGGTTGTGCAAATTGCATGAATGTTGCATGCACAAAATGCAATGTGCATCTCTGTTTAAATGACAAGACAAATCATTTTGTTGCATTCCACAATCACTAGAATGTCACTGTTTTGTCACATCAGGCATCAGCTGATCTACATTATATTTGTTCATATTTTTCTACAGCTTTATCAGTTTATGTTATAAGGAGCATATTTATTTAGGATATTGCCTCAGTGCTGGCTGTGAAATTTGTAACAAGTGCCATTTTATTCCTTTTTTACTGCGATTTACTGTGTGAATAAAAGAGGATTTACAAGTCGATAAGACGCTGCTAGTATGGTAAGTAACTTCTAAATAATCATGTATTTTTGCAATCAAATCTGTGCATAGCTAAGAGAATAAATTGGTTCTAATTCAACAGTAAAGCCCTTTTTCTGATAACATATGTATTTTCAATGTTTTCTTTGGTGCATGTGTGGTCCTGACTCCTGAGTCCTGACTGTACTAATTTGCACACCATTAATATAGTTTTAGTGAAAATGAATTTTCTTGGTTTGATCATCTATTACTCTTATTATGAGTCAGTAAAGCTTAAAAATCAACTTCCATATTTTTTTTACAAACAATTCATTGCACTGGCCGTTATAAGGGTTTACTACGTACCGTACGTAGTATATAATGTAAATTGTAAACAAAACAGAGAAAACCGACTCCGAGCATCAGTAGGACTACTCACTACTGACTCAGTACTGAGTAGTGAGTACTAATCGCTGTCACATACGCAGTAGTTTATTACTTTTACGTAAAATAAATGTTAAAATTTCTGCCGGAAAATCGTATTATCTATCCTCTTTAGAACCTTCTTTTTATTACAAATACTTCCACCTTGTCCACCAAACAGTAAAACCCACCGATTCTCTGCCCTGAGAGTGGAACTTGATCTAGTTGCCAATGACGGAAAACCCCTGATTTGGGGGGCGCAAAGCCCCCCGGTTTTACCCCGCGCCTCTACGCGTATTGTGCTTTGCACGAGCTGTCATTATT